CGCGGGGCGGGGAAAGCGGGGAAAGCGGGGCGGCGGCCGAGCAGATGCAGCGGGCTGCCAGGGCGCTCTTGACGAAGGAGTAGAAGGTACTACGCTCTGGCTCTCACTCTCAATCTCCTTCTATCTTCTCTCTCTCTCGCTGTCTCTGTCTCCATCTCTCTCTCTCCCCCCTCTCTCTCTCTCTCTCTCTCTTTGAGCAAATCGGGCTGTAGCGATCCATCTTTGGGGCGAAGAGACCTCCGCCGAATCTTCGAGTGGCCAAAACAACTTCGCGGGAGATTTTCGCAGGATTTTCAAGCTCCTCGTCATTCTCATTCTACCACTGACCCCACTCACACATAACATCACCCATTCTTTAAAGCCACTTGGGTATGGTCTGAAAAGCTAGTCTGAGGAATATAATAAAGAATAATTAATTACTATCTTTCGGGGGACCTGCGTTATAGAAGCCCAACCGCATACCTTCCACCTATGGAATTGGGATTCACAACCGGATACATTTTTATGGAATTCTTCGCGTGAAAAGTGAGTTCGCGCCATGAATCCTCTCTTTCTCTCTGTCTGTCTGTCTGTCTTCTTCATCCCACCCATGGTGTTGCAGTCCACTCGGAGTATTCCCCTGACAAACGCGAACAACCTGGGAAGAGGGCACGAAAAGAGCACCATAGCCCGTTGAATAAGATTCTTCCATTTATGATCCACCTTTGAATGGGATCCTTCAGAAGAACACGGAAACCAGAGATCAAAGCAGACTGAGTGTTGAATCCTCGTCTGACGATAACATAGTTTGACCCACCTACGCTACTCAGCTGGTGTGGAATATGTTTCACTCGTCACGAATCGAATCAAAACCTCATCGGTACATGGAGCTCCAAGTTAAGCGCTTCTTAACTAACGGTATGGTAAAGTGGTACTAATAGTTCAGTAAAATAATGGTGCAATAACGTGATCGATGCGTTACGATACAATACTATGGTCGTATAAATAACATGAAAAAGTAAACATTTGAGAGCAAAAAACACATTATTGTTCTAGAAATGAATAGTATGGACGGAATGCCGCATGAAATACAAATTCTGGATGAACTATACTTAAATTAACCTTCAGGCGAATGAGTCGTTTTATGTTGGCAGCATGTTAATGAAGCAAGCTTGTTGAAAGAAGGGCGATAAAACCGGTGATAGTAATTACGTTGTTTGGTGGCGGCGATCGTGAGATAATGAGGTGTTCCCGACAGCGCGGTGCTGACAGAAGAACGAGAAGTCGAGATGGGACATAAAATACCCTTCTGCTCCTTCCTCTTCCTCTATCTCCATCTCTCCCTCTCACGCTCATTTGCTCCTCCTCCCTGTTGGTCTGCTCTCTCTCCGCTCCTGTCTACCTACTTCGTTTTCTCTTCCTCATTGTTCTTCTAATGTAATTTTTCTCACCGGAAAGAAAGGTTGAATGATGTAGGTGGATATAAGTTGTCCATGGAGGCACTTGTAGTAATTCTCCCTCCAAGATACAAACACTGATAATTTGAAAGATGCTCAGATTTCAAACACACTGTAAAAACGTGATCCGTTGACCCCTAACCGGTACTCCTGAGGTAAGCAACCCTAATCCGAAGACATTTCTGATAGAAAATAGGCTGATTACTGATTTAATTCTTCCTCAACTAAATTTACCTCATCTTAGGGCGCCAGCCCCATCATGAGAGCATCCTCCTCCTGCCCTTGGAGTGCATGGCACCGCGCACCCACTAGCAGCGCGTTTCGTGGCCCCTGCCCCCGCTCCCGAAAGCCTCTGAACGATGTCGCGTGCTTCTCTTGAGTTGTTTATGGTGACACGCAGCTTGCCCACGTAGGACAGTCCACCAGCGGTGAGGGTTCTCTTTAAGGTCTTTGGAGGTGTAGAATCGTGAATACGAGCGAAGAGTCAGAAACTCATCTGTAACATTAGGTTACCAATCTCACACCTTCTGCTTAAATGCGACTGTTTTGCGTGTTTCCACTTGCCAGTTCTCTGTTCTTGCCACCAATTCTTTCTCGTCCTATCTCAAAACAACATCGTACCCTCAGATTGGACAGGGCAACCTACTACGCTGCGAACTTTTGCGATGTTTGTAGGAGCTTATGCAGCACCATTTACTGCCTAGTGCAGGGAGGCCGGGCCGGGCCCGCACGAGCTCTTTCCCGCCTGCGGAGCCCTGCGCTTCTACGGGCGAAGGAATCTTCCCCTCACTTCGCTTTCTTTCCCCTCCAAATCGTCAAGGGGTGTACGTGAGCAAGCCGAAGCGGCGCGCGGATGGAA